TAGTGCCACTTGCCTGGACCTGGACCCCTTGGTTTTACCTTCGGGTCCATCAATTGAGCCTAGTGCTCATGCGAGTCTCATTGCCCCGGTAACATCGTTGGACATTAAAAATGCCCTATTTGATATAGGCAATGATAAGGCTCCGGGTCCGGATGGATATTCATCTGCCTTCTTTAAGGCGAATTGGAATGTTGTGGGGAATGACATAGTCCTAGCGGTCAAGGAGTTTTTTAGCTCGGGAAAGTTGCTAAAACAGATCAACCACACTGTCATAGCGCTTATCCCAAAAACAAACCACTCCCCAAAAGTCTCGGACTATAGACCCATCTCGTGTACGAATGTCCTATACAAAGTTATTACGAAAATTCTTGCGGCTAGATTAATTCCGTGTCTTCCGGGATTAATTGATCATGCCCAAGGTGCCTTTGTGAATGGCCGTCTCATGATTGATAACATTTTCCTTGCCCAGGAACTTGTTAGAGGATACACGAGAAAGCGAATTTCACCAAGATGTATGATCGAGGTGGATTTGCGTAAGGCCTATGATACTATTTCTTGGGATTTCCTTGAGGCGGTTCTCAAGGGTTTGGGCCTCCCTTTGAGATTTGTGGGTTGGGTTATGGCATGTGTTACCACGGCATCGTTTTCTGTTTCTCTAAATGGATCACTATATGGGTTTTTAGAGGGAAAAAGGGGTATTCGTCAAGGAGATCCAATGTCTCCCCTTTTATTTGTACTATGCCTAGAATACTTTTCTCGACTTCTTAACTTGAAAACCAAAAAATCGAATTTTAAATTTCATCCTAAATGCGAACCTCTTAAGATTGCGCATTTGGCCTATGCATATGATCTTATGCTATTCTCTAGGGGCGACAAGGTCTCAATCGAAACTCTTGTCAAAGCGCTCCAAGAATTTGGGGATGCATCGGGCCTTAGGGTGAATTACAACAAATCTAACATCTTTATACGTGGGGTTAATGAATTTGAGTTACAAAACATTATGGACATAGTTGATTTTGGGAAGGGTGAGTTTCCGGTTAAATACTTGGGGATTCCCCTTGCCCCTCTTAAAGTCTCGGTGGCACAATATGCCCCTTTGCTTGATACGATTCTTGACTTTTTGAATGCATGGAATACAAAATCTATTTCGTATGCCGGGAAGATTGAGCTAATTAGATCTGTGATCCAAGGGGTCCAATCCTTTTGGCTCCAAGTCTTTCCCGTACCACGGACCATCTTGGATCGTATTGTTTCCATTTGTAGAGTGTTCCTATGGGGGGGAAGTATGCCAAAGTGGCATGGGATGATATCTGCCTTCCCAAAGGGGAAGGGGGCATTGGTATTCGTAATGCCAAGGTTTGGAATCAGGCCCTCCTCTCCCGAACGCTTTGGGATGTCCACCTTAAGAAGGACACTCTTTGGGTAAAATGGGTTAATGGGATCTACCTCAAGGGCAGAAGTGTGTGGGACTTCACCCCACACAGTCGGGATTCGACTTTCATGAAGAGTTTGGCTTTAATAAGGGATAAAATCAAAGGTCATTTTAATAACCTGAATGATACTGTTATGGGTTTAGCCTCTAGATCCATCAACGGTAAACTGATTTCTAGCAAAATTTATGAATTATTGAGAATAAAGGGGACGGCTAAGGTATGGATGAGCTTCATATGGAAATCTTACATCCCTCCCAAATTCTCGTTTAATGTTTGGCTTGCGTTCCGGAATAGGTTACCTACCCAGGATAACCTTGAATATTTGCATATTGTGAATAGATGTGACCTTTGCAAGGGTGGCTTGGAGTTAATGCCACACCTTTTCTTTGCTTGCCCTTTCACTTGTAGGGTATGGGAGCGCATTAGGACTTGGTTTGGGATGGCGCATCAAATGACCACGATGTCTAGCTCGGTCAAATGGATCTTGAAGGACCACAAGGGATCGAAGTTGATGGGAAAAGCTGTTCGGGCAGCCTTTTGTGCTACTATATATCACATTTGGCACGCTAGGAACGCTAACCGATTTGATGACGCAAACAAGAATGAAGATGAACTAGTTGCTAAAATTAAGCACGTGGTATATAGGATACTCTTCATCTTATACCCGTGTGAGATGATTAGGTTTTGAGGAGGACTTTGGACTATTGGAAGCCGCGGCATGTGGGAAGTGTGAAGCCGCGGCATGGGAGACTTTTGAAGCCGCGGCATGTGGAGCAGTGTGGATGCAGCTTGCATCACGTCGTCTTGTTTTTTATTTTTGGAGTTAAAGGAGCACACTATAACCTCCTTTGACTTAGACTTGATTGTTTTTTGGTAGAGCTATGTGCGTGCACACTTGCAGCACTGATTCTGATTTTGTTTAGCCTCGGGCATTGGGTATACTATACTTAGGCCCTGATTTTTTATTTTGGACTAGATCGAATAAAAACCTCTCCTAACCCCTACGCTAGGTAGGGGTGGGGGGGTTTTAGGAGATCTAAAACCCATGATGTATAGTTTTTCTTTGGGTGTTAATATATATTTACATTTCATCCAAAAAAATCGAAAGAGCTCTCAGTTCTGATGATCCTGATGATTAAAGCCGTTATATGGAATGTGAGAGGTTTGAAAAAACCTTCTAAACACTCTACTATTTCGAATTTTATTAATTCTAATCATGCGAGTTTGTGTTGTTTTTTGGAAACAAAAATGTCAAAATTAAATATTGCGAATTATATATCTAATAAATGGACTGGTTGGCTTTTTGAAACTAATCACTCTTTTATAGATGGTGGACGTATACTTGTATTTTGAAATCCTAATTTAATCACATGTACATTAATTGAAATGGGGGAGCAACACATGCACTTCAAATGCCTATGCCTCACGTCTCAAACTATTTTTCATGCTACTTTTGTCTATTCGCTATATACAGTTTTGAGGCGTAGGTCTCTATGGGAGCACCTTTCTTTGCTCGGGGATCAAATTAAGGATCCTTGGTTCTTAGCTGGTGACTTTAATTGTGTTTGCTCTCCTAATGAGAGGTTGGGTTCTAACGCACCCTCGGACTATCTTTTAAAAGATTTACTTGATTTTAAAATCCGGGCTAGCCTTCAAGATGCCCCATCCATGGGGGAATTCTTTACGTGGAATAAGGGACATCTTTGGGCAAAACTTGACCGGGTATTGTTAAATGAGACGTGGGCTCATTTGAGGATCGGATGCAAGGCCCATTTCGCTGAAATGGAGGTCGAGTTTGACCACACGGCATCCGTGGTGTCTATACTCAATAATACCTCTCTCAGGCCGAAATCATTCAATTTTTTTAACATGTGGTTGCAACATTGTGCTTTCACTAACATACTTTTGCAGAATTGGAATGTGAATATTCAAGGCACGGCTCAATTCCAAATTGCTAAGAAACTTAAGTTGCTAAAACAGCCGCTTAAGAATCTTAACAAAGTGGAATTTGGTCATATTTCTATGAAGGCAAAAAATGCGAAAGAGGATTTTAAAAGGCTTAACAGGTTGTTGCTTGATTCTCCCGATGATGCCGACCTCAAAGAGCAAGTAAATGGGGCGAGAAAAAGAGCCACCTTCCTAGGTGAGGCCGAATGTAGCTTCTTCCAACAGCGGGCGAAAGCTACACATATCCTTGAGGCGGATAAGGGCACAAGGTATTTCCACGCTATCGTCAACAGGAACAAGGCCAGGAATACCATTACGTCCATAAGGTTGGATGATGGTAGCCTCACTACTTCTATTGATCTAAAAATTCCACCGACTGATTCTCGTTTTTCTTGTTGTTCTTACCTCGGAAATCTCTCCTCTTTCACATCTATCGTTTGGATTTGTTAGAAATTGATTTCTGAAGCAAGGACCGACGTATTTAGAAACCTCTGCTCGCACAATCTACTGTTCATTCCCGATTTAGAAGTTGTGCTTGGATCTAATATTGGACGGTTGGTTGTGGAAAAGGAAGCTTGTTTGGGGGTCGCCGGCCTCTGGCGAACCTCCAGCACCTGGTTTGGGACCTCCGCCACGCCGCCGTACCGGACTTTGAGAAGAGTCGTTGCGAACGGCCACTGTTCATCGCAGTCTACAATCTTGCAGATTTCTTCATTTGTTGTCGTTCAACCTGGAATCTGAAGCTTGTTTAGAGTTCATCTGGCTGGGACGAAGCTGCTGGTACTGATCTTATCTGCTACAAGTCGGTAATCCGTTTTCCCCCAAATTTCTTGGGCACTGTAGCTACGACGAAGGTCAGACTGCTTTGACTCTCTTTACTGCAATTATTCGTTGCTTCTTTGAATTATTGTTTCTCTGTGAGCTTCGTCAGGTTTAGCAGCACCTCTGGTAATTTTTTGGGAATTGTTTAACTGGATTTGAGCTTGTGCGTTACTGTTCATCTTCCCTGGGAGATTGCTATAGTAATCTCTGCGCACCAGAACTAGTTAATTGATTCTCCATTCATTTGTACTTGGTGTTTGCTTGTTCTAACATTACTGCTGCAGTACCTTGTATTAGTTAGAATATTTTTCTAGCTTCTACACTGCCCGGTTTTTGGAACTGTTTATACTATTGTGTTCACGATCTCTTGGAGCATATATCACTCCTTTTTCAGGATCTTTGGAACAAGGATTTCTGGGAATTTGTCTTCTTCCTTGGGAAATTCTGGTTGCTACAGTAAATCCTGCGCCTAGAACTAGTTAATCTTTTTTCTAGGGCTGTATTGTTGCATATTGTGTTAGCTAACCATACCAGGTTGATAAACAAACAAAGAGCTATCTCCCGGAGTTTTTTGAGTTTTTTTGGAGCAAGTCCAAAATTCTCAAACATTCTGTCTGCTACAGTAACGCAGTACTAGTTAAAGGTTTTTTCTAGCTTCATTACTTCTCGGTTCTTGGATTTGATTGTACCATTGTGTTCAGCACTTAATTGTGTTTCACTAACATTATTTTGAGAATTTTTGGTGCATATTTTGTGTGGAAAATGATGTGGTCTTTGTTTTTCTTCTAATTCATTACTAGGAAAAACAAGCAAAGCCGAACTCCTCCACCTAAAGATGCAAAGTTTGAGGAAAAGGTCAAATATCTTCAAGCAAAGAAGCTAGTGAGTGAGCTCAAAAAGAGAGAAAAGAAGGGGGAGGGTGTTGGCACGATGGAGGTTTTACCAACATCGGATCAACAAGATTCTTCTAACTCCAAAGATGGTGGTTCTACCGCTCCTAGTATTGAGGTTGAAAGCTTACCTCCTAATGATACTACTATGGCCGAGGTGTCCTTGGCTATTTCTAATGCAAAGAGTGGTGATGCCTCAAACAATGAGCCATCTCTTGCACCCCATGCAATGGGGGGAGCTGGTTCCTTTGCGGAGGCACTCTTGGGGATTTCATCTTCTACAAATGTAGGTGTAACAAAGGAGAGTATTCCAAGCAAGGTTCAAACTACATCTATGGAAGTGTCGGATTACAACAAAGTGATTATTCAGGATGAAGACGAGTCCATCTCACTTGGCTCACATGACACCGAACCCAGCAAGCGAGACCAAGAGGAGGAAAAAGGGGAGGGAGGAAAGCAATGGTCCTCCCTATTCCATAATAACCGAGCTCCTTCTTCCGGATTAAAGCTTGAATACTTTCCACCCACCGGTGAAAAGTTGGATTTTTCTCACTTAAAAGTTCCTACTCTCATTGAAGTGTGGGGCTATTGCTTGGTGGGTCACTTTTCGGGAAGGTTTCCAGGACTTAAAGCCATATATGCCATGACCAAAGCATGGGAGGTGGAGGTACAAGTCAAAACACATGGCAAGGGTTGGGTCATATTCAAGTTTCTATGCGAGGGTGACCGAACCAAGGTACTAACCGAAGGGCCATATATCCTATATGGCAAGACTATGTTCCTTAAAGAATTATCGGAAGACTTCTCTACAAATAGTGACGAGTTCCTCAAAGTGCCAACATGGGTGAAATTTCCTAGGCTTTCTATGCGTTTGTGGCAAGCAAATGAGATTGGGAGGATTGCCTCTATGGTGGGTGTCCCTATTACGACCGATAAAGTTACTCAAGACAAAACCTACACTAGTTTTGCTAGAGTACTAATTGAAATTGATGCTTCCAAGCCACCGACCCTCCAATTTCCAATTATCCTCCCCTCAGGCAAAGAGTATGTGCAAACAGTCCTATACGAGACCTACCCTAATTTTTGTTGTCATTGCAAAAAATTTGGGCATCACTTCTTCGTGTGTAAGGTTCTCAACCCGCCAAAGGGAAAGGTAATTGAGGAGGTTTCGACCAAGGGAAAAACAGTGGGGGTAACAACGGAGAAGGAGGAGAACTTCCAGGTGGTCACTTACAAAAAGAAGCAACCTAACGCTCCTTTACAAGGCAGGTTACAAACTGCCTATAAGCTGCCGGTCTTCCCGTTTGTCCCCAAAAATGTTGAAAACGTTTGGGGCAAAAAGCATGTTGTTGATAAAGATTGGGATGGACGTCAAGTTTCTAGCGTACATGAGATGGAAGTTGATGATATAGTTACAAAATTTGTAACTAAAGAAGACGGATTGCACTTGGCGTTTGTTAAGAAGAGGCACCAAATTGAGAGCCATGCTTCCATTGTTAGTATCGGGAGAGACCTTCATAGGGAGCCTCGCATGGATAAACCGGCTATTTGCTTCACGGACTCTTGTCTTGTATCACTTCCCGGAGTCAAACGTGCAAGGAGATGGTACGCATTTAATAAAGAAATTTTTATTCTTAATGTTGCTTGTTTTTTTGATGTCAATGTGAGGCACAACAAGGATTTCTTGCAAGCTAAAAAACTGCCCACGGAGAGTATTATCCCCTCCATGGCTTTGCAATCAAGAGGAGAAGGTGCGAGTTCCTCCAAATTGCCGGCACCATATACGAAGGCAGCACTTTTGGATCCTTTAACCGGGGAGAAAGTCGCTCAACAAGTTGAAAATCCGGAGGGACGAAGAGTTCGCAACATGCACGACATGTTTGAGGATGATGTAGTCACCAACATGCTCAAGGATGAAAACGGGAAAAGGGTGATCTTCGTTAAACCCTTAGATGATATTGCACATGATGTAAAAGTAGTGAAAGTGGGGCCTAGTCTTGAGTGGGTACCATGTGATGAACCGGGGGTCTTCTTTACCGAGCCGTGCTTGATCTCATTCCTAACGGTTAAGAAGAACAAAGATTGGTATGACTTTGATACTTTGCTTTTCACTAACGATGTGTTTGATTTTTTTGATGCCAACACTAGTTGGAACAAAAAATACTTGAAAGAAAAGCAAAGAAGGAAGAGGAAGGCCGAGCGTGAGAAGGAGAAAGGGCAAATTCAACCCGGGGATGATGGCTACACCTCGGATTTCTATCTCACTTGATGATTAGTATCCTTGCTTGGAATGTCCGAGGTTTGAACAAAACCTCAAAGCATAATTTAATTTCTAGCTTTGTTAAATCCAATAATGTGAATTTGTGGTGTTTTGTTGAAACTAAAATGACCACGGCCAGTTTTAATAAATACGTTTTAAATAAATGGCCGGGGTGGCATTGTGAAAATAATTTTGAAAAAATAATAGGTGGCCGTATGGCTATTTGTTGGAATCCTTCTTTTATTGATTGTGTTGTTGTTATGATTGATGCACAATTTATACATGTTAAATGTGTTTGCCGAACTTCACAAATAACTTTTCAAGTTACTTTTGTGTGTGCATTATATACCGTCTTGGAGCGCAAAGCTTTATGGGATAAACTCACTGTACTTGGTGACCGAATTAGGGAACCTTGGATAGTTACGGGGGACTTTAATTGTATATGTGCTCCAAGTGAAAGGGTTGGGCCTAGCCCACCTACGGCGTATATAATGCAACATTTATTTGATTTTATTGTCCGAGCTAGCCTTGAGGATGCCCCTTCTACCGGGGAATTTTTCACGTGGAATAAATGTAATCTTTGGGCTAAGCTCGACCGTGTACTTGTCAACGATGTATGGGGGCAGCTTGGTATTAGTTGTAAGGCCCATTTCTTTGAAATGGAGGTTGAGTTTGATCATACGGCTTCCGTAATATCATTACTCAATAATTCCTCTCTTAGGCCGAAACCATTCAAATTTTTTAATATATGGATTAAGCATTGTGATTTTGCTAACATAGTAGCACAGAAATGGAGTCAATTTATTGATGGCACGGCTCAGTTTTCAATTGTGAGGAAACTAAAGTTGCTCAAAAGGCCGCTAAAGAACCTCAACGCAGTGGAATTTGGGCATATATCAATGAAGGCAAAGAGAGCAAAGGAAGAATTCAAAAGGTTGAATAAATTATTGCTAGTCTCGCCTCTTGATGATGATTTAAAATTGCAAGTGGGGGCTGCTAGGAAAAAGGCTACCTTTTTGGGGGAGGCCGAATCATGCTTCTACCAACAAAAAGCAAAGGCCACACACATCCTTGAGGCAGACAAAGGCACAAGATACTTCCATGCCATCGTGAAGAGGAATGCTACAAGGAACGCCATTTCTTCCATAGTTTTGGAGGACGGTAGCCTTACTACTTCCTTAGATCAGGTTGGGGATGAATTTGTAAAATTTTTTGTGAATTTATTTGGTACTAGCGAGATAAACCTACCCCTTGACCCGTTGGTTTTAGGAACCGGCCCCTTGATTGAACCAAGTGTTCATGATAGCCTTCTTACTCCGGTAACAAACAAGGAAATTAAAGATGCTTTGTTTGATATTGGGGATGACAAGGCACCGGGGCCGGATGGGTTTACCTCGGCCTTCTTTAAGGCAAATTGGAGTTTTATTGGGGATGACATAATCCAAGCGATTAAGGAGTTTTTTCGGACGGGTAAGTTGCTCAAACAGATCAATCATACTGTTATAGCACTTATCCCTAAGACTAATCACTCCCCGAAAGTGTCGAACTATAGACCTATTTCATGCACGAATGTATTATATAAAATTATCACAAAAATTATTGCGGCTCGATTAACCCCGTGTCTTTCGGGACTGGTTAATCAAGCCCAAGGAGCTTTCGTAGATGGCCGCCTAATGTTTGATAACATTTTCCTAGCCCAGGAAGTTGTTAGAGGATACAATAGGAAGCGAATCTCACCGAGATGTATGATTAAGGTAGATTTGCGCAAGGCCTACGACACGATTTCCTGGGATTTCTTGGACAAAGTCTTGAGGGGCATGGGCTTCCCCGATAAATTTATTGCATGGATTATGGAGTGTGTGTCCAATGTCTACTTCTCGGTTTCTTTAAACGGATCGCTTTACGGATTCTTCAAAGACAAACGTGGAATTAGGCAAGGGATGTCCAATGTCCCCTTTGCTTTTTGTTTTGTGCCTTGAATATTTCTCCCGGTTACTCACCGTGAGAACCAAAGGGGGGAATTTTAATTACCACCCGCAATGCTCCACGTTGGGCATCACCCATTTGGCATATGCCGATGACCTTATGCTATTCTCGAGAGGTGACACATTTTCCATTGAAATATTGGTCAACGCTCTCAAAGAGTTTGGCGAGGCATCCGGTCTAAGGGTTAACCACGAAAAATCGAATATTTTTTTGGGAGGGGTGAAGGAGCTAGAACTACAAAACATTTTAAACATTGTCGACTATGGGCAAGGAATATTCCCGGTAAGATACCTTGGAATACCACTTGCCCCGCTAAAGGTATCGGTTGCACAATATGCTCCCCTAATCGACATGGTCAAAGATTTCCTAAATGCGTGGAATACGAAAACACTATCCTATGCTGGAAAAATTGAGCTAATCCGATCGGTGATCCAAGGGGTCCAATCGTTTTGGCTCCAAATCTTCCCGGTTCCGCAAACCATATTGGATAGGATAGTGTCCATTTGTAGAATGTTTTTGTGGGGTGGAAAGTTTGCGAAGGTGGCTTGGGATGACATATGTCTTCCAAAAGAGGAAGGGGGTCTTGGCATCCATAATGCCCGTACTTGGAACCATAGCCTCCTTTCTCGCACTCTTTGGGACGTACACAAAAAGAAAGATACCCTTTGGGTTCGTTGGGTTAATGGTGTATACCTTAAGGGTAGAAGTGTGTGGGATTTTGTCCCACACGGCCGAGACTCACAACTCATGAAGAGGTTAAGTCAAATACGGGACAAAATACGAGGATGCTTTAATAATTTAAATGAAACCATTATGGGCCTTAACGCTAGGAGTAGGGTTGGACTCGGGCCGGGTCGGGCCCGGGCCGGGCCTAGGCCTGGTCGGGCCGGCGGTTCTATATAGTTGGACCCGGGACCGGCCCGGGTAGCCACCGGGTCCGGTCCGGGTCCGGGCCGGGCCGGGCCTCGGGTTTGGTTACTTTTTTTTTTTTGCTTAGCTACCCATCCCCCAAAGCCGACACACACGCCACAACAAGCTGGGGGAGGTTCTAGTGCCGCGAAGCCTATTGTGGCTAACCTTGGGGTTAGTATTGCTAAGGAGCTGCTGGTTCCTTCCCTTAGCATCAAGCCGCGGCCGAGTGTTAAATTCTCAAAGGAACGACATCAACTTATGGTTGCTTCCAAGGACAAAGATGGAAAAGAGATTTTGGCCAATCTTCCTAGAGGCTATGTAGTAAGGAGTGTGCACGAGATGGACTCTAAGGACATTGTTACCGGTGTCTTTATTGATGAAAAGGAAGGCCACTTGCTACTACTATTGATTTGGATGAGCTACCAGATGGAGAAACCTTGATCAAGGTGGGGGCTGACCTTAAGCCGGTCACTAATGAGGAGGATCCGGGTGTTTATTTCACCCACAGTGGCCTATTGAAGCTGCCCGGTGTAAAGAAGAATGGAACATGGTATGACTTTGAACCTAAAACTTTTATTTCTAATGTTTTTTCTTTCTTTGATCCGTGTAGCAAGAACAATGTTAGTTACTACAAGGAGCTATTGAGGAGAGAAAGAAGGAGTGCAAGGAACAGTGCTGCCGCGGGTGGAGGTCCCACCACGGATCTTTATCTTACTTGATGACAAAGGGTTTGGTATGGAATGTTAGGGGCCTAAATAAGGCCTCTAAACATAATTTAATTGCATCTTATATCAAATCAAATATGATTTGTTTTGTTTGTTTTTTGGAAACTAAAATGACTTTGGCCACATTAAATAATTACATTTCAAATAAGTGGCCGGGTTGGAGTTTTGAAAATAATTTTGACTTGATTAATGGAGGTAGAATTGCGGTCATGTGGAATCCGAGCCTAATAAAGGTTGATTTTCTTGAAAAAGATAAACAATTTTTGCATGCTAGGTGTGTGTGTTGCATTACACAAACCCCTTTCTTTGTGTCTTTTGTCTATCCACTTTACACGGTCCTAGAAAGGAAGGCCCTTTGGGACCATTTGACTTTGGTTGGTGACCAAGTGTCCGAACCATGGATGGTGTGTGGCGATTTTAATTGTATTGCTACGCCCAATGAAAGGGTGAGTCCTACCCCCCTACGGCGTATGTAATGCAACACTTTTTTGATTTTAAGGTTGCCAATAGCCTTGAAGATGCGCCCTCCACGGGAGAGTTCTTCACTTGGAACAAAGGTGCACTTTGGGCAAAATTGGATCGTGTATTAATAAATGAAGTGTGGGGGATTAAAAGCATCAGTTGTAGGGTCCATTTCCATGAAATGGAGGTTGAGTTTGACCATACGGCATCCGTAGTGTCAATACTCTTAAACTCCTCTCCTAGACCCAAACCGTTTAAATTTTTTAACATGTGGCTTAAACACACTGATTTTGCTAATATCTTAGCCTCGCATTGGAGTCAGAACGTTGTAGGTACGGCTCAATTCAGGTTGGTGAAGAAACTTAAGGGACTTAAACGGCCCCTAAAGAATCTCAACGCCGCGGAATTTAGTCATATCTCTAGTAGGGCAAAGAGGGCAAAGGAAGAGTTCAAACGGTTGCATAGATTGGCACTTCTAGATCCGGGGGATCAAGAAATCAAGGCCCAACTGTCCATGGCTTCAAAGAATGCTATTTTCCTAGGTGAAGCCGAAACATCCTTCTTCCAACAGAGGGCAAAGGCTACGCATATACTTGAGGCGGACAGGTGCACCAAATATTTTCATGCAATCGTCAAGAGGAACCTGACCAGGAATGCTATCTCATCACTTACCTTGGAGGATGGTACCCTTACCACCTCCTTGGACCAAGTGGGAAGTGAATTTGTAAACTTTTTTATTGATTTATTTGGAACTAGTGCCACTTGCCTGGACCTGGACCCCTTGGTTTTAACTTCGGGTCCATCAATTGAGCCTAGTGCTCATGCGAGCCTCATTGCCCCGGTAACATCGTTGGACATTAAAAATGCCCTATTTGATATAGGCAATGATAAGGCTCCGGGTCCGGATGGATATTCATCTGCCTTCTTTAAGGCGAATTGGAATGTTGTGGGGAATGACATAGTCCTAGCGGTCAAGGAGTTTTTTAGCTCGGGAAAGTTGCTAAAACAGATCAACCACACTGTCATAGCGCTTATCCCAAAAACAAACCACTCCCCAAAAGTCTCGGACTATAGACCCATCTCGTGTACGAATGTCCTATACAAAGTTATTACGAAAATTCTTGCGGCTAGATTAATTCCGTGTCTTCCGGGATTAATTGATCATGCCCAAGGTGCCTTTGTGAATGGCCGTCTCATGATTGATAACATTTTCCTTGCCCAGGAACTTGTTAGAGGATACACGAGAAAACGAATTTCACCAAGATGTATGATCAAGGTGGATTTGCGTAAGGCCTATGATACTATTTCTTGGGATTTCCTTGAGGCGGTTCTCAAGGGTTTGGGCCTCCCTTTGAGATTTGTGGGTTGGGTTATGGCATGTGTTACCACGGCATCGTTTTCTGTTTCTCTAAATGGATCACTATATGGGTTTTTTGAGGGAAAAAGGGGTATTCGTCAAGGAGATCCAATGTCTCCCCTTTTATTTGTACTATGCCTAGAATACTTTTCTCGACTTCTTAACTTGAAAACCAAAAAATCGAATTTTAAATTTCATCCTAAATGCGAACCTCTTAAGATTGCGCATTTGGCCTATGCAGATGATCTTATGCTATTCTCTAGGGGCGACAAGGTCTCAATCGAAACTCTGGTCAAAGCGCTCCAAGAATTTGGGGATGCATCGGGCCTTAGGGCGAATTACAACAAATCTAACATCTTTATAGGTGGGGTTAATGAATTTGAGTTACAAAACATTATGGACATAGTTGATTTTGGGAAGGGTGAGTTTCCGGTTAAATACTTGGGGATTCCCCTTGCCCCTCTTAAAGTCTCGGTGGCACAATATGCCCCTTTGCTTGATACGATTCTTGACTTTTTGAATGCATGGAATACAAAATCTATTTCGTATGCCGGGAAGATTGAGCTAATTAGATCTGTGATCCAAGGGGTCCAATCCTTTTGGCTCCAAGTCTTTCCCGTACCTCGGACCATCTTGGATCGTATTGTTTCCATTTGTAGAGTGTTCTTATGGGGGGAGTATGCCAAAGTGGCATGGGATGATATCTGCCTTCCCAAAGGGGAAGAGGGCATTGGTATTCGTAATGCCAAGGTTTGGAATCAGGCCCTCCTCTCCCGAACGCTTTGGGATGTCCACCTTAAGAAGGACACTCTTTGGGTAAAATGGGTTAATGGGATCTACCTCAAGGGCAGAAGTGTGTGGGACTTCACCCCACACAGCCGGGATTCGACTTTCATGAAGAGTTTGGCTTTAATAAGGGATAAAATCAAAGGTCATTTTAATAACTTGAATGATACTGTTATGGGTTTAGCCTCTAGATCCATCAACGGTAAACTGATTTCTAGCAAAATTTATGAATTATTGAGAATAAAGGGGACGACTAAGGTATGGATGAGCTTCATATGGAAATCTTACATCCCTCCCAAATTCTCGTTTAATGTTTGGCTTGCGTTCCGGAATAGGTTACCTATTGGAGGACTTTGGACTATTGGAAGCCGCGGCATGTGGGAAGTGTGAAGCCGCGACATGGGAGACTTTTGAAGCCGCGACATGTGGATGCAGCTTGCATCACGTCGTCTTGTTTTTGATTTTTGGAGTTAAAGGAGCACACTATAACCTCCTTTGACTTAGGCTTGATTGTTTTTTGGTAGAGCTATGTGCGTGCACACTTGCAGCACTGATTCTGATTTTGTTTAGCCTCGGGCATTGGGTATACTATACTTAGGCCCTGATTTTTGATTTTGGACTAGATCGAATAAAAACCTCTCCTAACCCCTACGCTAGGTAGGGGTGGGGGGAGGGTTTAGGAGATCTAAAACCCATGATGTATAGTTTTTCTTTGGGTGTTGATATATATTTACATTTCATCCAAAAAAATCGAAAGAGCTCTCAGTTCTGATGATCCTGATGATTAAAGCCGTTATATGGAATGTTAGAGGTTTGAAAAAACCTTCTAAACACTCTACTATTTCGAATTTTATTAATTCTAATCATGCGAGTTTGTGTTGTTTTTTGGAAACAAAAATGTCAAAATTAAATATTGCGAATTATATATCTAATAAATGGACTGGTTGGCTTTTTGAAACTAATCACTCTTTTATAGATGGTGGACGTATACTTGTATTTTGAAATCCTAATTTAATCACATGTACATTAATTGAAATGGGGGAGCAACACATGCACTTCAAATGCCTATGCCTCACGTCTCAAACTGTTTTTCATGCTACTTTTGTCTATTCGCTATATACAGTTTTGAGGCGTAGGTCTCTATGGGAGCACCTGTCTTTGCTCGGGGATCAAATTAAGGATCCTTGGTTCTTAGCTGGTGACTTTAATTGTGTTTGCTCTCCTAATGAGAGGTTGGGTTCTAACGCACCCTCGGACTATCTTTTAAAAGATTTACTTGATTTTAAAATCCGGGCTAGCCTTCAAGATGCCCCATCCATGGGGGAATTCTTTACGTGGAATAAGGGACATCTTTGGGCAAAACTTGACCGGGTATTGTTAAATGAGACGTGGGCTCATTTGAGGATCGGATGCAAGGCCCATTTCGCTGAAATGGAGGTCGAGTTTGACCACACGGCATCTGTGGTGTCTATACTCAATAATACCTCTCTCAGGCCGAAATCATTCAAATTTTTTAACATGTGGTTGCAACATTGTGCTTTCACTAACATACTTTTGCAGAATTGGAATGTGAATATTCAAGGCACGACTCAATTCCAAATTGCTAAGAAACTTAAGTTGCTAAAACAGCCGCTTAAGAATCTTAACAAAGTGGAATTTGGTCATATTTCTATGAAGGCAAAAAATGCGAAAGAGGATTTTAAAAGGCTTAACAGGTTGTTGCTTGATTCTCCCGATGATGCCGACCTCAAAGAGCAAGTAAATGAGGCGAGAAAAAGAGCCACCTTCCTAGGTGAGGCCGAATGTAGCTTCTTCCAACAGCGGGCGAAAGCTACACATATCCTTGAGGCGGATAAGGGCACAAGGTATTTCCACGCTATCGTCAACAGGAACAAGGCCAGGAATACCATTACGTCCATAAGGTTGGATGATGGTAGCCTCACTACTTCTATTGATCATGTTGGGAATGAATTTGTAAAATTTTTTGTTGATCTTTTTGGCACCGAGATGGAAACCTTTTCCTTTGACCAAACGGTACTAGGAATCGGCCCTTTGATTGAACCAAGTGTTCATGATAGCCTATTATCTCCGATAACAAACAAAGAAATTAAAGATGCTTTGTTTGATATTGGGGATGACAAGGCACCAGGGCCGGACGGTTATTCATCGGCGTTTTTTAAGAAAAATTGGAATGTTGTGGGGGGGGGGGATGTGACTCGAGCGATCAAAGAGTTCTTTAACTCGGGAAAGATGCTTAAACAGTTAAATCATACTGTGATAGCTCTAATTCCTAAAACTAGTCACTCCCCTATGGTCTCAGATTATAGACCTATTTTGTGTACTAATGTGCTTTACAAGATCATTACGAAGATTATTGCGGCAAGATTAATCCCTACCTTTTCGGGTTTGATTAACAAAGCACAAGGTGCGTTTGTGGACGGCCGCCTAATGTTTGATAACATTTTCCTCGCCCAGGAACTTGTTAGAAGATACAATAGGAAGCGAATCTCACCTCGTTGTATGATTAAGGTGGATTTGCGCAAGGCCTATGATACTATTTCTTGGGATTTTCTTGCCAATGTTCTTAAGGGTCTGGGCTACCCCGTTTTATTTGTGGGTTGGATAATGGAGTGCGTTACTACCGCATCTTTTTCTGTTTCGTTGAATGGAATTTTGCATGGGTTCTTTAAGGGTAAGCGTGGCATTAGGCAAGGGGATCTAATGTCCCCGATGCTTTTCGTTCTATGCCTTGAGTACTTCTCTCGCCTTCTTACTATGAAATCTAAAGTATCGGACTTTAACCATCACCCGCTTTGTGGGTCTTTGTGTATAACCCACTTGGCCTATGCGGATGATCTTATGCTCTTCTCGAGAGGAGACAAATACTCCATTGGAATATTGGTTGAGGCTCTTAAAGAGTTTGGGGACGTATCGGGCCTAAGGGTTAACCATAACAAATCTAACATTTTCGTTAGTGGGGTTAATAGCTACGATTTGCAGGGTATTTTAGACCTCGTGGACTTTGATCGTGGAGCTTTCTCGGTGAGATATCTCAGTATCCCACTTGCGCCTTTAAAAATCTCCGTGGCCCAATATGCGCCACTACTAGATACGGTAAATGATTTCTTAAGCACCTGGAACACCAAGACGATTTCATATGCAGGTAAACTTGAGCTAATACGATCGGTGATCCAAGGGGTCCAATCGTTTTGGCTCCAAGTGTTTCCGGTGCCTCAAACTATTCTTGATAGAATTGTTTCGATATGCCGTATTTTTTTATGGGGTGGCAAATTCACAAAGGTGGCTTGGGACGATATTTGCCTCCCCAAAGAGGAAGGCGGCCTTGGCATTCACAATGCTAAGATATGGAATCACGCCCTCCTTGCGCGCACCCTCTGGGACGTACATCTAAAGAAAGACACGCTCTGGGTTCGTTGGGTGAACGGTGTATACCTCAAGGGTAGAACCGTGTGGGATTTTGTCCTACACACCCGAGACTCCTGGCTCATGAAGCGACTTAGTCTCATTCGAGATAAAATCCGGGGTTGTTTTAATAACATGAATGATACGATTCTTGGTCTTAATTCCCGTTCCACAAATGGGAAATTAACCTCCGCAAAAATTTATGATTTACTTAGAGTTAAGGGTAATGTTAGGACTCCTATGAGTTTCATGTGGAAATCCTACATTCCCCCCAAACTATCTTTTAACGTGTGGTTGGCTTTAAGAAACCGGCTTCCTACCCAGGATAGCCTCGGTTATCTGCACATTGTGAATAGGTGTGACCTGTGCAAGGATGGTTTGGAGACAATACCACACCTTTTTTTCCTTTGCCCCTTTACTTGTAGGGTGTGGCAGCACATAAGGATCTGGATGAGACTTGGGCGTGATATGACCACCTTGCTAAGTGCTGTGAAGTGGATTATGAAGACTCATAGAGGATCGACGTTGAAGGCAAAGGCAGCCCGCCTCGCTTTCTGCGCCACAATTTATTATATCTGGCATGGGCGTAATGAGATACGATTTGAGGGGGGATCAAAGACGGAGGGAGATATTATTGCTAAGATCAAGCATGT